AAATCCCCTTGCCAGGAACAAAGAGGAATCTAAAAACCGGAAGAGTAAGTGTCTGAGTTTATATCCCAGGAACTCTGGGGATGTTACTGGACCCTGAAATAACGGCTGGGGCTTGAGTTTCAAGAAAGAGGCTAGAGATGAGACTTAGATACACATGAGGTGAGGAGTAGGCCTTTGGGGAGTCTCAGTGAAAGTGGGACTGGGACAAGTGCACCCACCAGTCCAGGAAGAAAGTAAGGAAGCTGGGCTCCACCAGGGGCCGATACCCCTGGAGCACTAGCTGAATCCTTCAGAGGAACAGTTCTAAGAGACAAGGAATTTCTATTTTTTAAAAATCCCTGTTGAAAAAAAAATTTCAGTTAAATAAAACAAAACACCAAAAGAAATGATCTACTATGAGTGAGACATTATATCACAATAGTCAGGAAGATTAGCATCCCCCAAATATCTCATAGAAAAATCTTTTAAAGGACCACATAGAAGTGTGTTTAAAATAATTAGATTTTTTAAAAAGAAATAAACTCATAAAGACACTTTGAAAAGAAAAAAAAATTGGAAGTTTGGGGAAAATACCAAATAGAACTTCTAGAAATGGTAAGTATAATGTTTGAAATTTAAAACACATTAAATAAGTAAAATAGCATAATAGATACAGCTGGAGAGAATTGATTAACTGGAGGATAGCTCAGAGGAAATTATTCAAAATGCATTTAAGAAAGATAAAGGGAAAATATGACGACATAATATAGACAAAGAAGTGAGAAGATTCTAAGCATATTTTAATAGGCATTCCAGAAGAAGAGATTAGAGAAAATGAGAAAGAAGTAATATTTAAAGAAATAATGACTAAGAATTTTTCAGAATTGAAGAAATTATCCTCAGATTCAAGAATCACAATGATCCCCAAGGGTACTGAATCTAAAAAGCATTTAACAATCTATATATATATATATAAGCCAAGTGACCATAACGCCGGAATGACCTGAACAACTGGAATGACTGGTTGCTATGACGCACACTGCAGCAGCCAACCGGCCTGATCAGGGCCCCGATTGGCCTCCCAACCTCCCACGGCCCCACCCCCCCACCGACCCTGCCCCAATCAGCCCCCATCAGGATGGGTGGCCACACCCCACCCATGCATGAATTCATGCACCGGGCCTCTAATAGATAATAAAAATGAAGTCGTGTATCCCTCATGACCCAGCAATCACTCTTCCAGATATACACCCAGAGAATGTCTCATACATATGCATGAGGAGTTATTTACAAGAATGTTCACTGAAGCACTACTTGTAATACAAAAAATTTGGAAACTAAATTATCCATCTGTCTAGTAACAGATAAACTGTGAATTGTTTTTTCTTATAATAGAATACCCCAAAGAAGTTAAAATAATAAATCATAGCTACATATATAAATTTTTGAGTAAAAAAGGAAGTTTCAAAAAGATAAGTACAGCATACCTTTTATATAAATTTTAAGTATACACAGTAAAATATATGAATACAAATGTAGTGAAAATATAAACATATGCATGGAAATGTTCACATCAACATCAGGAAAATGATTAAGTTTGGTAGAAAGAAAAAGGGGACAGGATTGGGGCATGGTTAATTATATTTCTTTTTATAAAGGAGATTTCTGAAGGCAATATGGCAGAATATTACTACCAGGTAAATATTGATGGAACTTCTGATAAACTACCTTTCACATATTTTGAAATATTTTGATAAGGATTTTAAAAATTAAAGCTATGTCCTAAGACAATTAGAACAAGAACAAAGGAGAAGAGATGGCATAGGTGTTGATCTTGAATAGATGTCAAAAGAGAGTCAGAGTCAGCATGTGGACCTTAGATAAGTCATTTAATCCTTCAACCTGTTTCTCTCATCTCAGGTTCCTGGAATAAGTTATCACAACTAAGCTGTAAATTTACCTGTGAAACTCACTGTCAATCAAGGCAAAAAGGCAAACACATTGTGGTTTTCTTAATATTAAAGGAAATACAAATTCAACAGAAAATAGAGATTATTTTTCTGCCACTGAATTTTCATGAGTATAGGCATACAGTTCTCCAAAGATTTCTTTCAGCCCTGTACAGATTGTATCTTCTGAGAACAGGACATGGTTGAATAGCAAACAATTTTGAAAGAAAGTATATTCCTCTGGAGAGATCTAGTGATGTACTTCCCAAGACATGTCACAGGGCACTAAAAATAAAGGCCTCTCCTCCTTCCCCTCCAGAGACACGTGCTCTTCTCCCTCCCTCTCTCTCCCTCTCCCCCAACCCCACCAAACTGGGCAGACTACCAGCAACCGTATAAAAGGCTAAATCTCCTAATTTCAGGTTTCCTCTCCTGTGATGCAACTTACTATGTACACGCAGAGATAACATCTGGCTCTTAGCTCATTGCCCTGTGGGAACTGCAGGGTAGAAAACTGACACAAGATATTGCTCTGGTTGCTGCGCTTGCTGTGAATAATAAACAATCTGTGTCTCTGCCACAAGGCTCTGGTCTCTGTGTGTGTGTGTGTGTGTGTGTGTGTGTGTGTGTGTGTGTGTATTTGTATAACTGTGGCAGGCTAACTTGTTAGCTTGTAAATAATGTAAAAATCTCATCCTTCACAGCAAAGAGGAGCAAAGGGAAAGACTATGAATAATGTAATGGACAGTTCCTTTAAACATGATTTCATAATGAATACAGAAATGGTCTTCAAAGGACACTTTTACATCAATCCTTTGTAAAAACGTTGGATCTAACAATGCAAGGAAAGAAATGTCAAGGCAAACCATTAGATTCAGACAGACATTTTGATGGGAATTTAAAATAATATGAGTCAGCTATATTTCTTTTTGATGATCTAAAGATGCACAAACACAAATCATTTTTTACTTTCTCAAACATCACGTATTATTAAGACAGCTCTTTATAATGCTGTCTCAGGCAGTTCATAGTTGAAATATCTGATGATTTCTGGAAATGGCAAAATCTTTGATTAGAGAAATTCCTATATGATGAATATTTTGTTCATTTTAGCAATCCCATCCATTATCCATTTTCTCTGCTCAAAACAACCCAGATTTTTGTATGAGGATTCATCCTCTCCCCTTTCTCAGGTCATGTGGTCTGGATGGAGTTCCAACCCCCACTCTGGGAATGCTGCAGGTAATTGAGTTCTAGACCCATCAGTGATTATCATTCCCCTGGTTTAGACATAAGCCATTCTCCAAGAGTGAATCTCAGGCTTGGCCAGGAATGCTGAGTCAAGGATGCTCATTCTTTTCTGCTGTAATTCAGCCTGGAAGGATGAAACCCTGGAACAGCTGCAAATCATCATGTGACCATGAGAGAAATATCAGTCTGAGAATGGCGTCAACACGGAAAGCAGTTCAACACAGAAGCAGAACCAGGCGGCGGAGAGAAACAGGATCCTGAAGGCATCATTTGAGCACCTGTATCCAGCTATGCCCGAAACCTTATCAACTCTGTTGTTCAACTACATGAACTGATACATCTCCTTTTTGGCTGAACTCAGTTTGAGCCAGGTTTTCTCTCCCTTCAACAAAAGAATTAAAATTAATTTATTCTGGGGATTGATTAGATGCCAGACTTGCACGACTCTAAATCTTTTGTAACAAATATTTAGAATGCTTTGAATAATGTCCAGATTGAAAAACCCAGAGTTCTGTGACATAAAGTTTAGGGGGGGAAAAGTCCCCAAAACATTGTAAGAACTGTTAGCCTTTATCAGAGCCGCAATGAAGCAATCTGAAATATACCTGGATGTTGATAGGTCTATCAAAATGAGTGTATAGTTAAATATACTCAATATATTATGTCAGTCAAAGATGAACTTGGAAACATAGTTTATGGGGAAATGGAAAAAAAACGATCATTTTTAAGGTTTGTTGTAGGATTTTAGGTTTGACATAAGTAGTAATTTGTAGACTGATATTTAGGATGAAACATTTGAAATTGATAGTTTTATATAATTCAATTAAATAACGAGATAGAAAAAGTCCACATTACTTCCTCTTTCAGATTTATTTAAACCAGAGAATACACTTGGAAAAAGACCCAACTATTCATTTCTCTTATCCAACTATTCTTGTTTTACATGTAGGACAACCAAATGTGTCCTACATTTTTCAAATCTTGCAATTTTCTATCAAAAGGATCCATATCTTGTGCAAATGTAACATTCACTCACCTGCATGTTATATAGGGGTTGCTTTGGTGCGTTAACTTCCCTCAGCAGGCGGTGAGATATGCACCTTAACTCTAAAAGTCTACAAGCAAGTCGAGGCTGCAGGAGTTTGGCCACTGATTTGGAGGATCTGGATATGCCGGTCAATCCTTGAATTAATGCTCCTCGGTTGATCTTGGCTAAAGCAATGGCCATTTTGGCTTTAGATGGCTTTTTCATGGTTTCTCTTTTCTGGAAAATAAGCCTTTGAAAAGTGACTGATGTGTGATTCTCCAGAGAATTAAAATCTACTTTAGGCAGAGAACAAGTACCACATAATTGTACACTGTGCATGGTCCCAGGCATACACTCCATGTTTACTGATGATATCTCACCCCCTACAACTCATAGACCCCACTATGTACTTAAATCTCTACATGAATATATGAATTGTTCCTTAGGATAACTATCCAGAATTTCAGTTATTATTGTAAAGATATACATTTTTCCACTTTTCTCTCTAGGTTTATTTATTTTTTTGCATCGATATTTAAGAGGTCTTTAAAAAATAAACAATTCTTATTCAAATATTATTCGATGTTTGAATTATTCAAATGATAATTATTATTCAAAACTTGTGTTTCCCAGCTTACTTTAAACATTTTAAATGATAGAATAGAACATACATACATAATTCATAAAACAAATACCCTATATACTAATCAACAAGCTTAGGACACTTCTAAAAAATTCTATGAGCGTTCTGAAAAATGTGTGGCATTACCAAAACACATAAAATGTAGTACTTCTCTGCTCTACCAGAAAATGAATCACAGAGAAATTACTTGCAATGTGGTCAGACTGCATTCCAGGCAACACACAAGTATAGTTTCCATTCTTCTTTAAAGTAATGTTACGGGCTTTTTCTGGCTTCTTAGTATAAGCAACTTTGAATCTCTATTTGTTGAGTCAAAATATGTAAGTATGAAACATCTTTTAAATGAATTTTTTGGTCTACAATTAACATTACTAGTATATATTTGTCTAAGAGCTAACATGCTGTATATTTTAAATACCTCAATTTTCATCCTGAAGTAATAATTTTAATATTGTTGCTTTTGTCCTCAAAGTTCAGTCTTCTCTTACTGGCCAGCTTTGCCATGGGAAATAAAAATAAAAAGCCATTCTAGCCTGTCAATGAGGATGTATTTCTGCAGCATGTGCTGGTTTAATCTGTTAACTTTATGGAAAAGTCCCATTGGTTCACCTGTGATCTTAACCCTGCTAGTCTATACAACAGCAGAAAATGCAATCTAAATTATGGACTGCTACAATTCCAAACCATTATAGAATAGAGCCATTCTTACAAGCAAATATGTGGTAGATAGAGCAAGCAAAATAGTACGAGGTGCAATCAACTCCGGTTGTGAGCGTACCCATACCGGGGAGAGGAACCACATTGTCTGCAGTATCCAAAGCTCCTGCACATACAGATTCAAGTCCTCTGTGACCTTATGCTTTGTTGCTGTCAGGGCGTAGAGAAGGCCACCCCAAAATATCCCACAATGGCATATCAATTGATGATCTGTTTGCATGCCTTTAATTGTTTTTTTGTTTTTTGTTATCTGGTCTTGTGCCAATTTTATTATTAGTCCAGCTATAAGAACTCAAGAGGGACAGAGGAAGGATTTCCCATCCCCCACACTGCACTGATTCTTCCTCCCAACTCCTCCTCAAGGTGAAGCAGCAAGAATAAGTACATTCTGATTACAATATACTGTGCTTTCTCTCATTATAATTTCTAATCATCAAGATGAGGGCCACAGCACCAGGGCGATCAGGAATGGGACATGTGCAGTTGTTCTGCCTTTACTGAAACCTCCTTTACCTGATCACTCAGTGTTTTAGGAACCCTTCATTTTTGTAGTTGCAAAACATTAGCATTCTACATTTTTCCTCTTTTTATTTTATGTTTCTTTATAAAATGTTGGTGATCTGTACACATTGACCATGCACTGAATTTATATGTGTATTTCTATGAACCAATCTTGATTAATTCCCCCAAACACTATACTAAATTGAGCCATTCAACTTTCCCCTCTTTTCCAAATTGTCTTTCTAAATTTTTCTCTGTAGAAAATTAAGCGTATTTGTAACTGATTATCTGTTAGTCAAAACTCTCCTGTAGGGTTCACATAATTTGTGTTGAGCAAAAGACAGCATTTATTATACACAATATTTTTAAAAATTCAAGTGTGTATTACAATAATGCTTTCATGCACTTTTTATTATCTTTCTCTTTTTAGTCTCATTGTGAATTCGTGGCTTTTTCCAACAGACTTAACCTGTTCCTCATCTTTGTTTCCTTTAATGTTTAAATGGTTTCAATTTAGTAACTGTGCTTCTTTTCAGAGTTTTTTTTTTTTTTTTAATCCTCACCCGAGGATATTTCATAACTGTGCTTCTTTTCAGAGTTTTTTTTTCTTTTTTTTTTTTAATCCTCACCCGAGGATATTTTTCCATTGATTTTTAGAGAGAGTGGAAGAGAGAGGGAAAGACGAAGAGAAATATTGATGTGAGAGAAACACATCAATCGGTTGCCTCCTGCATGAGCCCCAACCAGGGCCTGGGGGACAGAGAGGAGCCTGCAACAGAGGTACTTGCCTTTGGAATCGAACCTGGGACCCTTTGGTCCACAGGCCAATGCTCTATCCACTGAGCCAAACTGGCTAGGGCCTTTCGGAGTTTTCAAAATGCTTTCTCTTTTTTAATACTTTCTTAGATACCTCGGAAAGAATTACTTCTGACAACAAACTGTTTCTGTACACCTCCACTCTCCCTGCCACAAAACATGGAATCAACTTGTTACTGTTCTTAAGAACAGTGTTAGAAACCAAACAGGCACTGGATGCATGTCCGGTGGTTCCTCGTGTCTCTGGAATACGAAAGTGACAGCAGACAGCTACTTACATTCATTTAGATGGAGAATGAGACATTCTTCTTTTTAAAAAAACAACAACCAGTCAACAGTTTAAGTTGATGAGTCCAATTAGTTACTTTTAAAACTAGCTCTAATAGAAAAAATTTAAATAAAACATTTTCCTCCTTTTTTGAGCTACCAGCTTTTTCTTTTTGTCTATTATCTATGCTATATATTTTCTTACCTAGCTGTGTGTGTAAATTTAAATGGTGACTCCAAATTAAGAAGTCCTCATTTCTTTTCCCTCATTTTTTTTTCACTCTTGGCATAAGTAAGGATCCTTGAATTGGTTGCAAAATATGCAAGTTTAGATGATTATTTTTTGTCATCATTATCTTCATCTGAGCATATCAGCAAATGTCAGAAACGAAATTCCAACCACCACCATCACCTCAGAGACAGGTACTTAAAGACCATTTACCAAAAGAAACTTAATCAGATTGGTTCAAAATATTTCTCTATTTGAGCTCCATCCTTTCAATACATATCCTGCTTTCCCTTTTTATTTTATTTTCCCTAGAGCCAGGCCCATTTCTCTATCATCAGCAGTTTTAATGCTGAACTCCAATTTCTATTATGCCAGCTTTTTACTACCCTACATCTATAAAGTCAGCCTGTCAGCAAATTTTACTCAATTCTTTTTCTGAATAGCCCACTTCTCACTGTCCCAATACCAATACCCAGTCCATTGTATTTATATATCACCATCATCTCGTCTGGACATTGTAAATTAGCCTTCTCACTGGTCTCCCTGCTTCTGACCTTGCCTGTTTTTATTCTTTCCCCCAACACATCAGCCAGAGAGCTACAATGAAAACATATGTCAGATCATATCTTGCTTTTCTTCTATTAAACTGCTTCAGTGGCTTCCTGGTACACTCAGTGTTAAAGCCAAAAAACATACCACGGTCGCCAAGGCCCTACAAAGGTTGTCCCTTCTTTACCTCTCTGGCCACCTCATCTCTTTCTCTCCTTTTTCCTCCTCGTTACTTGTTGAACTTGTTAGGTATACTCCCACCTCAGGAACTTTGCACTAGCTATGCCATTTGATCCCTCAAGGATACCAACGTTCTCTTCCTCACTTGCTTTAAGTCTTAATTCAAGAATCACTTTCTGCCAAATCCGGTTTGGCTCAGTGGATAGAGCGTCGGCCTGTGGACTGGAGGGTCCCGGGTTCGATTCCGGTCAAGGGCATGTACCTGAGTTGCGGGCACGTCCCCAGTGGGAGATGTGCAGGAGGCAGCTGATCGATGTTTCTCTCTCATCGATGTTTCTG